GGGTTGGAACTGGATGATCTTTAAGGTCCCTTCCAACCCAAACCATTCTATGATTCTGTGACATAGTGGAGTTAGAGAAGAGAGTTTTTCCAGAGACAGGCAACTAAAATAACGAGGGGATGAAGCAGCACCTTGCAAAGAGAAACGAGGGCCACAACTCTTGTATTTGGAGACAAAGTCGATGAAGGAGAACGAATGAGGTTCACAACACTGAAGGTGGTGAGTAAGCTGAATACAGAAAGGCCACATAAGAATGGAGGAGCACTCAGTGTAACAAGTGGGATGTTGGTTTAGAGCAGATCAAAGAGTGCTGCTTCAGCCAGCAGGTAATGATGTTCTGGGACTTGCAGCCATGGCTGTTAGAGGAGGCAGATTCAGCATGTCAAAGGGTCAAGAGGCGTATGGATGCAGAAAGGGCCGGGCAGAGATGTCCTCTCTAACATCCCTAATCCAACGAGCGTGGATGTGCAGGAGTGTGCAGGGAACGAGCTGCAGCCAGTGGCGGCCTGTGTGCTGTCTCCAAATAGCATCGGCTGATGTCACCACTGGAAAGAAGATGTTGGGTTGAAGGACACTGGCCTGAATGCAGAAGAGCACTTCTGTTTTTCCTTGCAGTTACTCACTCGTTCCACTAACACCTTCTGAGTAACGACTGGTTTCCTGAAATGCCTGCATCTTTCCAGGATTCATTAAAAGCTAACGTAAGCTCAGCAATTCCAAAAGCCAACTCTCCCCAAACAGTTCAGCACGAGTTAGACACGTTTGCAGGTTTCACATGCCATTTAGATTCCTGCAACAGCAGCAGTGTGTCTCGGATAAGCTAAGTCTACAGATGCAAGCATCCCTCCCGCATCTCATTCTTCTAAAAAATTTATACTGTACTTCTCAGACTCTTACATCAAAATCCTTCATCTTAACCCAAATAATGGAACAGCTCAGAAATGTCCACTGCCAGGCTGCCCACACAGGACACTACCTTTGAAATGAAGACACCTGGTTCATGAATCCCAAACGGATGGCTTGAATGGTCACTGCCTCCCACGATGCTGAGTCCCAGGGGACCACCTGCTTTTACAAGGTGAATTTCCTTGAGGGAACAGGAAGCAAAGTCAAAATGAATAAGGGCTATCACATAAGGACCACACACACTGACAAACACGGAGTCGGGGACGTTTTGTGGGAGCGAGCACAAGGTAAGCACCCACAGGACAAGGGGGTTCCCCATTACTTCTCAACACCCGCATGACACAGTGGACCAGCCCTCATCAGACCACCAATTTTTCAAATGAACAATACCCAAGATGACACTATCCCCTACTCCAACAGACGGACTCACCTCAATGGGATACTGATCCTCCAGGCCTTTAGACAGATGGTTCCTTTGCAGCAAAGGCGTCTCCTCTGGTGGGCTCTCCCCATGGCTGGGGGGTGGTGGTGGGGAGTGCATGCGCACTCGTGGCACGCCTGGCGAGTCTCCCTCGCTGAGCTGCTCTGCACCCTCTCTCTCTACCAGCAGCACGATGGTGGGGGAGGATGCGGTAAGCAGCGCTACTGCCTGATCATGCCTGGCTTCTGTCATGTCTACCCCATTGATCTAGAACAACCCGCAAACAGTGTCAGACCATCGCCCGCGTACACCCTGTCATTTTAAGCACTTAGCCAAGCACCCTAAGGGACCCCACTCTGCTGGAACACTGCCCCTTCTCAAAAGCCTGTTCCCCAAAGCACTTTGAAACTTACCCCACACTCCTTCCTACCTGGCAAAAGGGCACAGGCACCTGCTCATTCCCACCTGAGCACAATCCTCTTTCCATACTGCTTATCAGCCCCCTTCCCACCTTCCCTGTACACCTCCAAGCCCTCACGGCATCAGCGATGCTCCAGGGGACATGAAGACCAAGTACGATGCTCGACCTCCTGGCGCACTACAAACCTGGCTATTGCCCGGAGTAGGCCGTGGCTCACCCATTACCAGGATGGTACCTGTCACTCCTTCTTGGCTTTGCCTTCCAGCTTTCCTACTGGGCCATGACAAAAGAAGCCCAAGAAGCTGCACTGAAGGAATGGTCCAAAGATCTCAGTATGGGAAGAAGGCAAACAGTGATTCCCAGAAGGGATGCCATGGCACACTGATGTGCTGTGGCATCAGCTGCCTTTTTTTGCCAATATCGATCACTCTCAAAAGCCCACACATAGGCACTGAAGAGCACGATCTGATGTGCCAGAGGACCTGTCACAGGCCCAGTGGGCTGCTGTCCCCCCAGGCTGGGCAAGGCCACGGCAGTCTCGGGGGGATGCCAGTTTTAAGCCAAAAAAAGTGTATCCTAGGTATAAAAAGACTTGGAAGCATTGAGAAAGAGACTCTGCCAGTTCTCAGTGACTGCCTGGCTGACACAAAAGGAAAACTAGAATTCTGCTGGACAGGAAAACATTGTCCAATATGCTATGCCAAATAATTTCACGAATACACCTTGCTGGGGTATCAGTGAAAGATATAATGCTTCAGACAAAGAGGTACTTCCAGTACCTAGAGGGAAGCAGCAGTGTCATTCACGCAAAGCATTGACGAGAACTCATCTGAAAAACTGTATACTGTTCTCATCCTTCACACACACAAAAATTATCTAACATAAGTTAACAAGATGTGCAGAGAAAAGCTGCTACAACAGGCAGGGGAACAGAGAGCCTTTCCTACAAAATTAAGATTTAAAGCAGCTTGCCTAGGAAATCAAAGGAGCAGAAAGGATGTGACTGTTCTCCATGAATGTATGAGGGACAGAATACTGAGAGGAGAGTTAAGCTAGAGGAACACTGCCAAAAGGATGAAACTTGCCATGAAAATGTTGAAGCTGAAAATTAAAAGGTTTCTAGTCCTTAGGTTCTGGAAAAGCTTTCCAAAATGAAAAATGAGGACATGGAAATAACAGCTGTTCAGATGGAGTTTGATCAGCCTATGAAATAATGCTGTGACTTCGTAACATCCACGGAAACTGATTTTGTAGCCTGACTCCTAGAAATACTGTAGTTACTCCCCAGCTCCTCCCAAGAAAGCAGTTTCTGGACAAAGTTGACAGCACACAGTCCGACAAGGCTTTGTCCTGAACCTCCATAAACACCAAACCCCCCCACTCAACCTGTTCCATCCAATCCACAGTCAAGTGTGCTGCTCCTGGTATGACATGGAAGAAGACAGGCAAGACAACTGGTAAAATTCAACTTGGACTAGCCAGTAAATAGGAAGCCAGAATGTAGAAAGACCCAACAGCTGGCCCAGAAGCTGGATAAAAGGCTCAGTGCCTGACCAAAGAGCCCTGAAGAACTTGATGCTTGGGCCAGAGACTGAAGAGACTTGCAAACATGAGCATCTGAGTTAAGTGAGGAGGTGTGTATGCATGTTCCACCAGCAAACCTCAAACCTGACTAGCCAGAGGGCAGGAACAGGGTTCAGCTGATGGTGGTGTTCATGCCCTATGAGGACTGTTTGTGTTTAAGTGGGTGCCTGTGAAAGCACTGCCCCTGCTTCTTGTCCGTGTAAACCTGTGGCCACCCATGTCTGCAGTGTGCTTCATCTTTGGAATCTGCACTCAGCCTTCCCGATGGCTGGACCTGGGAATGGGGAAAAGCAGCAGCCTTGTGTCCACTGGGCTGGGAAGGGAGCATCCCCTTGGGCCCCCCATCTGCCAGATGCAGTGATTTTTAACGCAGATGACATGCAGAGAGACTTGGCCCTTAGTTCCTCAGCACCAGATCACAGCCCAACACACTCCACAGACAGACCTGCTGCAGCAGCATCTGCTCTTGCCTTCACACATTCCCCTCTGCTATTTTTCTGCCACTGACAAGAAGATGTGAATGGTCAGACTCGGTCAGACCGAAGCATACAGTGGTACTTCCCCAGCCGAGTGAACAGGGGTGCAGGAACTCCCCAAGTCCTACACACAGTCTCACACACAGCAGCCCTTGACAGCACTTCCCTCATTACCTTCTCCATCACCTGGCAATCACGATGCCTTCCACGCTTTGGAACGGCCAGTTTTCAGTGCCCCTTACTGCTGTGTGTCTGCTCAGCAAGAGAAAAGGCCAGCCTGTGCAGTTCGGCTCTCCAAG